TGCTGTAGTAGGTGAAGAAGGTGAAGTTGATTTCAAGGAAGAGGCCAAATTTGCACAGCATTTGAAGAAGGATGAAGCAGTGAGCGATTTTGCGAAATCAAAAACACTAGCTCAACAACGACAGTACTTGCCCATATTTTCTGTTCGAGAGGAGTTGCTGCAGGTTTTGCATAAGCCCCTTGAAAAGCACTTAAAATCCTTAATTTTTGATCCATTTTTTTTCTTAATTTAGTGGTGTCTTTCATTGATGAAGGTGATCCGCGAAAATCAGGTTGTCGTGGTGGTTGGAGAAACTGGTTCTGGAAAGACTACACAGCTGACCCAGGTTGGTTCAGTTTTATTTACAATTGCAATCATACACTTGTGCATCTATATTGACTCATAAAATTTTTGGTTCACTAATAAACAGAAGTTGTCATAAAATGGTTACTTCAATATACCATGCCCCTGTTTGGTTTGGCTTAAGTTTTTTAGTAGATTTTGATATAAGTTGATGGAATATGTGGTTGAAAAGTTAATAAAAAGTTGTGGGTCTCATAAAATGTGTGGTTGAAAATGAGTTTGGGAAAAAAAGATTTTCAAATAATTGAGGCCAAGCAGGGGCTATTTTTATATCTCAAAATATTATTCAGTCATCAGTTACCTGATATGTAATATTGGCAGTACCTGCATGAAGATGGCTACACAACCAATAGCGTTGTTGGTTGCACTCAACCAAGGCGTGTAGCGGCCATGAGTGTTGCTAAAAGGGTAAGCGAAGAAATGGAAACTGAGCTTGGTGATAAAGTTGGATATGCAATCAGATTTGAGGATGTGACTGGGCCAAACACAGTGATAAAGGTAAATGACATGTCTGTTCTTTCCGCCACCTTAAAAAGTATTTTGTTGATGGCCTTGGCATTCTCGTCTCGGATCATAATTAATATTTTACATCTATGCATAGTTAAAAATTCAATTTGTTTTCTATATTCTGTAGTACATGACTGATGGCGTACTTCTAAGGGAGACATTAAAAGATGCCGATCTTGAGAAATATCGGTATGAATTTTATTAATAATTTGATATTATGATTTAAATATCAATGGGATAACTTGTAACAAGTATTTCACCTTCTGTATCTTTTATCTTTTAGTGTTGTCGTGATGGATGAAGCACATGAGAGATCACTAAGTACCGATGTGCTATTTGGGATCCTCAAGAAAGTCGTTGCTAGACGCCGTGATTTCAAGCTGATTGTAACATCTGCCACTCTAAATGCCCAGAAATTCTCAAATTTTTTTGGGAGGTAATCATCTTTATTTTGGACAACTCGTCCAGGAAAATATGGTTTGCATCTTCTTTTTGTCCTTTACAGAGTAAACTCTGCCTGAGGCGAATTTTTCAAAATAGTCTTGTAATGGACAAAGTGACAAATGTCAATTTGTAATTTTATTTTTTATATCTAATGCTAATTTTATCTTATTGAAAATTACCTTCACCTTCACCTTCACCTTCACCTTTGTCAATCCATCTTCTTCCTCACTCATTTCTCCACCACCCTACAAACCAGTCTCCCCTTTCCCCATCTGTCTCGGGAGACTCCCAATTGAGTATCTAATGGGAGCTGATTGGGAGGATGTAGGGTTGGGATTGAGGAAGAAGATGAGAGGAAGGTTACGAGGGTGTTTTTGGTATATCAACTAAAAGGAAGCTATTTTACATAAAATTAGTGAGGTTATATTCATTGGCACCAACTTGGTCCTTCTTAACAAATTTCTCTACTAATTTCTGTGCAGTGTACCAATATTTCACATTCCCGGAAGAACTTTTCCAGTTAAAATCTTGTACAGTAAGACACCTTGCGAGGATTATGTGGAGGCTGCTGTAAAACAGGTTATGACGATCCACATTACAAGTGATCCAGGTGATATACTCATCTTCATGACTGGGCAAGATGAGATTGAGGCAACCTGTTATGCTCTTGCTGAACGCATGGAATCGCTTGAATCCTCGAACAAGCAAGTTCCTAAACTGTTAATTCTTCCAATATACTCTCAGTTGCCTGCTGACTTGCAAGCAAAGATATTTCAGAAAGCTGAAGATGGAGCTCGCAAGTGTATAGTTGCTACAAACATTGCCGAGACATCTTTGACTGTAGACGGGATCTTCTATGTTATTGACACGGGTTATGGTAAAATGAAAGTGTATAACCCGCGTATGGGTATGGATGCTCTACAGGTGTTCCCTGTCAGTCGAGCTGCTTCTGACCAGCGGGCTGGACGTGCTGGAAGAACAGGGCCTGGAACTTGCTATCGACTATATACAGAGAGTGCTTACCTAAATGAAATGCTGCCTAGTCCTGTGCCAGAGATCCAAAGAACCAACCTTGGCAATGTGGTTTTGTTGCTGAAGTCTTTAAAGATTGACAACTTATTGGATTTTGATTTTATGGACCCTCCTCCTCAAGAAAACATCCTTAATTCCATGTACCAGTTGTGGGTTTTGGGTGCTCTGAATAATGTTGGGAATTTAACAGATCTTGGTTGGAAAATGGTCGAGTTTCCGCTAGATCCTCCCCTTGCCAAGATGCTTTTGATGGGTGAGCAGCTTGGATGCATTAATGAGGTTTTGACAGTCGTGTCGATGCTTTCAGTACCATCTGTTTTTTTCCGACCCAAGGATCGGGTGGAGGAGAGTGATGCTGCTAGGGAGAAATTTTTCGTGCCAGAGTCTGACCACCTCACACTTCTGAATGTTTACCAGCAGTGGAAGGCTAATCAGTATCGGGGTGACTGGTGCAATGACCATTTTCTTCATGTTAAGGGGTTGCGCAAGGCTAGAGAGGTAAGATCCCAGTTATTAGATATTCTCAAGACACTGAAGATACCACTCACATCTTGTGGTCCTGATTGGGACGTTGTGAGAAAAGCCATATGTTCTGCATACTTCCATAACGCAGCACGACTCAAGGGAGTTGGGGAGTACGTCAACTGCAGGAATGGAATGCCATGTCACTTGCATCCAAGCAGTGCTCTTTACGGGTTGGGTTATACTCCAGATTATGTTGTTTATCACGAGTTAATATTGACGACAAAAGAGTACATGCAATGTGCCACGTCAGTCGAGCCTCAGTGGCTGGCTGAGATGGGACCCATGTTTTTCTCAGTGAAGGATTCGGATACATCAATGTTGGAGCATAAGAAGAAACAGAAGCAAGAGAAAACAGCCATGGAAGAAGAGATGGAGAACCTGAGGAAATTGCAAGAGGATGAAGAGAGGGAGACTAAGGAGAGGGAGAAGAAAAAGAGGGCTAAGGAACAGCAGCAAGTTTCAATGCCCGGATTGAAACGAGGCTCTTCCACTTATTTGAGACCAAAGAAACTTGGTTTATAGATTTTATTTCGTTGTAGCATTATTACTGTACTGAAAATCTCAGTGTATTAAAAATTGACATCGACTTAATTGTATCATTGGTAGAGATCCACCAGTAATGTTCATTATTGTAGAAGAAAAAATGTTAAATTTTGTTGGTTACACTTTTAGATTAAAAGGGGGAATGGTATTTGGATCTTGCTAAATATACATCAAGATTTACGGAGTAGATTATATAATGTTATATTGACATTTTACTACTAGTCAGTTTAAAATACAATCAAATTTTTTATTCAATTTTTTTCTTTACGTCATATTATGTAATTCATTATGTATAACTAGAAACATCCTTTTTGTAATGGTATACATACGAAAATTTCCGTTTAAGCTTCGGTCCATAATAAGTAGACAGGGCCTTCTTGGGTATTTAAGCCCGTTAAGATTATTGGGGGCTCTCTTTTAGATCTAGCTTTTGTCTTCTGAGAATGCTAATAACAAGCCCATAAGAGTTCTGTTTAAGCCCAATTAATCTAGTGTTGAGTCGTGTTTGGATAAGTTAAGCTTTTGATCGATTCCAATTTTTTCCAAAATACATTTCTCCCTCTCTTCTTTTCAACCACACAATCTTCTATAAAATAATATTATACGCAAATCCAAAACTTTTTCTTCTTTTTTAACTACACATTTTCCATCAATCTACTATTTCAAAATGCATTCTACACAAAAAAAAATGGGGCTCAAACAAGCCCTAAAACTAATAAAATTTTACTTGTAAGTAGTCTTTTTATTTTCAAATGTGTTTAAAAATATCATTTTTGTTACTTATAATAAGAAATATTCAATTATTCCGAGACTATTAAGCTTAGTCTCAAAATAAGTAATCACTTATTTTCAACTTTCAGCAACCCACTATGATTAAGTAGTAGATTCAAGGGGCATTAATTATGCATCAGATACAAAATGAACTATTCCAGATTTGGAAAAGGAGAGCAAAATGCATCAAAAATTGTAAAGGAAAAAAATGCTAAGAAGTGGAATTCAACATATAGCAACACGTAAGACACACCAACCAAATTAATTTTGTAGAAGCTCATAATTTGTTCAATTCCTGTCGATTGATTACCTTTTAATGTTCTTATGTGATCATGCCTAAAACGAATGAGTTAATGCTACAAATATTTAGATTAACAAAAATTATATAATCCAAATCAAATTTGAAGAGACTGACCCGTTGCCGTCATGTGGGATGTCACAGACAACCTTCGTTGCAAGTGGCTTAATCAATTTTGGAGGGAATGATTCTAGAGAGAGATGAATTGGGTGGAGATTGGTGTAAAGACACATAGTCACCATTTCGGTAAGCGATAAATAATGACGAGTTTGTTAGGGGTGTAAGTTAAGGTCACGTTTGATGGAGTAAATTGAGCTATTTGAATAAGTTGACTGCTTGATTTGGTTAAGATTTCATGTTTGTATTTTACTTTTTTAAAAAAAAACAGTATTTATAGAGTAAAAAAAGGTTATAATGTAAATTTCAAATATTTACCACAGGCTTAAATTTCAAACTGAAGAAAAATTGAAGGAACTGCTGGTACTGTGACTCCCAGTCCTTGACTGAGAAAATCCGAATCCGATAACCGGATCGGAAAATGGCCGGAGCTTCCCGGAGAAGCACCCGGAGCAAGACTCCATCCTCTTCCGGCGACAAAAATGATGATCCATCAATCCGTAACGTAAAACCAAATACCAGAATTCTAAAATCCGGTAGCAGGGACCTGAATTTCATTCGGATTTTACATGTGAACTTCAAAAATTTATTCATTTTTGGACTCGTTTGCTTCTTAATCGCTTTGTTTTTAGTTAATCACCTCATAAACCCCGCGGAAGAGCCTGCGAAACCCCGAGTCGTGACCCCTTTTACTGCTCCAAAACTTATGGAACTTACTATGGTAAATATATTTTTTTCTTTTTTCCTTGATTCTACGTGAATAACGTATAAAAAATGGAGGTGTATTTATCGATATTTATTTGTGTGAATTGAATGTTTGTTGCAGTTTCAAGGGGAGCACAAGGAGAGCTTATACTGGGGAACGTACAGGCCTCATGTTTACTTTGGAGTTCGTGCACGGTAAATATTTTCTTTTTACATTCCTGCATTTTTATATAATAGTAGCCACTGTTACTCTTCTAATTTGTAGCTTTAGACTGTAAATGAATTAGCATTTGTGGTTGCAATTATTGTCTAAACTCTTAGAAACTTCAGAAATTACCTTAAATTTTTTTGATTGATATGATACTGAAATCAGCAGTTTTTGAATATTTAAGGCTTGCCTTAAGTTTCTTACTGCTGTTGGTAATTAGACACGAAAAATGATCATTGGCACTTTCTGGATTTACTAATTAATGTATGTAGACCTTAACCGAGCCATATAAGGAAAACCTATAAGGGCAACTTTTTCTTTTGGCCGCCTGATTGTATATTGATATATCTTTATAGCATGTTGGATAATAACAAACAATAATTGGCAGGACTCCACAGTCTCTGCTCGCCGGTTTAATGTGGCTTGGTGTAAGGGAAGGAAGATATTCCATGCGACATGTCTGCCAAAATTCAGATGAACTTAAGACATATGGCTGGACACATCATAATGGACGGGATTATGGTCGTCAAGTATTGGTTGACCAAGAATTCACACTTATGACTAGCTTTTTAAAATATAAGGAGAAGGAGAGTGGCTATGGAGGAGATTGGGCAGTTCGAATTGAAGCACAGAGTGAAAAGTAAGTCTCTTTACCATGTTTCATGCTTGCCTTCTGAAATACTCTACGCTTGTACTCTGATTACAAAGTTGTAGCTCTAGATAAAGAGTTTGCAAAAATGATGCTCTTTGATTTCTTAATATGTTGTTAGTCCATGGTAGATTTATGATGAAAGAGGATTAGGAAGAGATAGGTATATGATGCATTATTAATTTTTTATTTTCCTTTCCAGGCTGAACTTGGCAAATTAAATTGCCCAGTGAGGTTTTTTTGGAAATAGAATTTTTCAACTGTTTCTGGACAATTCTTGCATTTTTGACAATCTATAGTAAGAATTATATCTTGTAAAAAGTTGGTGTCAGAGGATCTTAATGCTTAAAATATATAATAAATTGTTCGGGACAATTAGTGTTATACTTCTGAATATACCTCGTTTTAGAAAGATGCCTCCACGAAGTATTAGGAAAATTATTTTATTTAATTCGGCAAAATGCTTATTTACGTCTTTAGCATTCAAGTGTATCGCCAAAGAATTAACGACAACATGATCAAATAATTGGAATGTTCTTTATTCAGATATGATATATATTGAAATCTTCCTTCTATGGTTGTGTTTTCTAGATTCTGGTTTCTTCATTATACTAGACTTGAAATCAATTGACTTGAGGTACTTTGATGTTGTTAACATTTAGGATTTGGAAGTGTCTTAAGACTAAAGACATGTTGAGGTCCCAAAGGACTCACCAAATAGAGAACTCCACCTAGGAAAAGAAAAAAAATCAAAAAAGGAAAGATATGGGTGCTTTGTGGTTTTTTACATTCTGATGCCCAAGGAATTATTTTAATAAATGAAGTTGGTGAATTTGGTAATAATTCCTGCATATAGGAAACTGATTCCAGTTCTTGCTGTAGCTCATGTAATGCATCGGCGTGTTCATTTTAACAAATAAGGTCCATCAGTGGGTTTTATACTCATGTTTGCCTTGAGCTCTTCAATTTAATTAGAATTGAATAATTTACTCTTAATGTTTTTCTTTTGGTACATTGTATTATCATCATGTAATACTTCTAATCAATAAAAAATTACTTAATAGTATAAAGAAATGCTTCAATTCCTGTAAATACTCCATGGCTTGTGCGATACATTTGTTGTAAATCCTTGAATTTATATACAATTCACTGATTTGATGTTACGATGTGTTAACTGATTCAGACATAGTGAGGATATGTCAGAACTTGTGCACCTTTTCTTTTATGTGGGTGATGAAGGTGGAGCTGCTATTGACTTGGGTGGAGGTGTCGTGAACATTCATGATGATTCCATCTTGGCATTTGGTTTGCGGAATGACGTTGGTAACTGGCAGTTACATTTAGGGTCAGAGGTATCTTTTCATAAACCATTTCTTTTGAACCACCCTTACATATGTATCATTACTTATTTCTTTTGTGTGTGGATGTCCTATGAAACTGCCTTTTGAGATATTGAATAGTGTATGTGATTAGCACTTTGTTTCTCAAATTCTCTTAAGGTATTTTGTGGAGAGATTTTGACAATCTTGTCTATGGTGTTCATGCTATTAAATTTGTGTGAACCAACTTCTTTGGGTATGTTGTTTCTTTTTGTTGTATTACTTGTTAAAAAAAAAATGAAATTTGTTTGTAACCATCTCTGCCAGGTCATGAAGCTATGAATTTTTTAGTTTAAAAACCGTTATGCTTGTCTGCACCAGACAACCTACTTCATATGGAAATGTACCAACATTTAATGAATTTCTTGCAGGATGATTGTGAGATTCATTATTCTGGTTTCAAGACGCTACACATTCACAATTTATCTGATCTTGTTGTAGCAAATCTTGGAACCCAGGTGAACATCATAAACATTGCCTTGTCTATCCCACTGTTTTATGAAGTTTTAGCTTCGTGGCTTTGTCTTTCAGGCGTTACAAATATTGAATTATCATCTTCATTCATTCATTCATTTACTTCCTCTTTTTGTTTAGGCTAGGAAATTTAATCGTTTGCAGCTTCCAGATACATCGGAGCACTCTCCAAACATTCTAGTTTTTCAGGTTTGTCATCAAGAACTATTCAATTATTTTTTTGTTAGTACATTTGCTACCTCTTTTAACTAAAAAATTAACATAACAATTTAGGTTTTTCCTTCTTATCTATCTTGATCAGTGGTTCGTTGTTTATTGTGCAGATCTCTGCTAGGATTCCCTTCAGAGTAGATATTGTTTTTGTATCAGGATCTAGTGGTCATAATTCAAGAATGGAAGAGCGTTTTAGAAGCCTCACAGGTATGTTTGCATCTGTTTTGTACAACTGATGAAAATTAGAAACTCCAGACTAATTGGATTTGATTCTTGGTGGGTAAAGGGGATAGAATTTCTAAAGGAATGAGACGTGGAAAAGAACTCAAACTAAAGTCTGCTCTGTATTAAAAATCTGATAATAATGCTAATTCCAATTTGAGAAGTAGTATTTATAAGTTCCTAGGCCTCAGTACTTCTAATCCTAATGAAAATAGTTTGTCAATAATTCCAGGTAACTTGTTGACTTCTCGCCTAAATGAAAAGAAAGACCAGTTTGATGACAAATTTGCAAAGTGCTTTAATATTTCTGACGAGGTACGAGTTAGTGGAAGCTTCTTTTCCTTCTGCTTCATCGTCTTTACATTTAGGGCCTGCCTGGTGCCACTTTTTACTAAAAATAAAGGGGATTTTTCGACCGTTGGCCATCAATTGGAGCCGTAATATTTGACTTTACTCTCTAACATGTAGAACCCACTTGGAAATATAACGATCAAATAATCCCTTTTTTTGAGCTGAAAAGTGCCTCCTGAGAGGCACTTAAATCTTTCAGTACTTTGAAATAGTGATATATCATTCTGTTACAAATTTCCAAATTATGGTCTTGTATAATTCTAGGGCTTGAAACCCTGTCCTTCCAAGAATCTTGTCACGCGTTTTCTATAACGTGATTTATACCGCAAGTGTACAGTGTCAAGTTTTGTAATATAATAATGGAGTTGAGAGTGTCGAACCCATGGGGATTGTAATTCAAATTTCTACTAAGTACTATAATTATGTAGTCTCTATTTTATCTAGATGAATGAATTTTATAATCAATGTTTTTTAAACTAATATGGTGACGAATTCAACAAATAAAAGCAAGCTAGAAGAATAATCAAGTGAGAAAGTCTAGGGTTATGATTTCACCTAACTATCAAATATGATTCTCAATTATATAATTATTTCTAATCAATTTTCCTAAGTTTATAAGTAAGAGCACCAACGTAACTTTACTCCCTCTCTCGAGTGCCGAGTAAAA